CCACCTCCAGTATATGGGGCTGGCGCCCTACTCCTTTGAGCCACAGGCGCCACCCCAGCTCTTATTCTATAGATACTAAATGGACAAACTATTTTTATTTTCTTTTGAGCTAGCTTTTTCTTTATTCCTTACAAGTATGTGTAGCTTAAAAAAATTATTTTTATTTGTATTACCTACTAGTTTCAGTCTTATAGCTTGATGTGTACAAACATTTAAGGACCATCTCTATCACACGAATTAAAGTGTATCATTTTTACTTGAGGGTAGGCTATTAAGACTTCCTTAAAGTAATGACTAACTCCTGGGCTTTCCTTTTCTTCCCTTGGAGGAACAGTGAGTGACTATTTGCTTAGAATTACATGCCAACAGAGCTGTAGGCACTAACCTGAGGACTTTATCTCATTTAATCTTCACAGCAAGACTATAGTTTTATCTTTATTTTGTAATGATAAAAAGAACTTAAGCACAAAGAGGCCAAGTAGCACATCCAGAGTGGAAGCTGGATTTGAGCCAGGGTCTGTAAGATCTCAGAACTTTATCATTGTGCTGTGCTGTTAACCAAGCTTTTGTCCTCTAGGATTTAACACATAGGGTCATTTTCTGCCTCATCCATCCTGGTAGCTCTTCAGAGCTCACAAAAGGAGAAAGCTTCAGAATGTTCCAAGTGATACTAAGCTGGATTAAGATCTTTTGCTTAATGACCCAGAGTACAAACTTGGATGTCTAGGCTGGTTTATAACTGAAGTGTCTATTTCACTTACAAGCCTGTCTTTGGCCAGAAAGGAGGGAATCATTCCTAAGCATTCAATTAATCCCTTTCAGAGTCTACATATTCTCAGGGCACATTTCTTTTGATGTATTTCTATTGTCAAAGTCCCTGCCAGCTTCCAGAACTGTCTGAGCTGGCTGTCTTAGCCTTTCCCAGCTGCTGGGAGCTGGGGGCAAAGAAATTTCACTACCTCCTAGCTCAACATCGAGCTGCCCTCAGTTTGTTCTGGGTTAGAATAGGCCCGGAGGTATGTGATAGAAATGAAGGACGAGCCTACCTGGGGTCAGTCAAAGCCTGACCCATTTCATCAGAGATTTAGTGGAAATTTTTTTATAAAATTAAAATATAAAGCCATTCAAACTTTAGCATGGCTCCAACTTTTAAAAAATCATGCATTTCTGGCTCGGCTCCTGTGGTTCAAGTGGCTAAGGTGCCAGCCACATATACCAGAGCTGATGGATTCAAATCCAGCCTGGGCCTGCCAAACAACAACAACAACTGCAACCAAAAGGATTCAATTAATTGCTTTCAGAGTCATTTAAAGCTGGCAGGGACTTGGACAATAGAAATGCATCAAACGAAATGTGCCCTGAGAAAAAGCAATTAATTGAATGCTTAGGAATGATGCAGCTGGCATTGTGGTGGGCTCCTGTGGTCCCAGCTACTTGGGAGGCTGAGGCAAGACAATTGCTTAAGCCCAGGAGTTGGAGGTTGTTGTGAGCTATAATGCCACGGTACTCTACCCAGGGCAACCCAGGTAGAGGGTTGAGCTCTGTCTCAAAAAAAAAAAAAAAACACAACCCATGCATTTCTATAGACAAAATGTAGGGGAGCAGATACTTAGAGTGGTTATGTCTAATGTGTATTTTTATTTATACTTTCCTATATTTTCTAAATTTTTGACAGTCTGTACATATAGTCCTTCTGTAATACGAAAAGGAAACTTAAAATAGTTAAATTCAATTGATCAGCTATCTGTGAAATAAACTACCATCTATCCAGGGAGGACTATTTGCTAGAACTTATTTTCTTTAGCATAAATACTAGTATGTGCTAAATAAATTTGAATAACAACAGAACAATAACAATAATTAAAGTAAACAGAATTATCTTGAGGCAGTGGGCTCTAGTACTGTACAATGACCCCCTCCCTTCACTCCTTTGAGGAGGAAGTAAAAAGCAAGAAGTCAGAAGGGAGGGGTGACGGGCCCGGATTGGGAAAGCAGGAGGAGGCCACACCGGCACCGCTGAGGCCTACTAACCCTATAGTTCTTGTTTTTAAAAATAATTTTTGCTCAGCTAGCTAGACATACCAGAAATCACCAGTAGCCGCCACAAAACCGTTCCTGTATGTACCAGGTTGTAAAACCTGGTAGCCTGCTTTGCTGGCTCAACAAAAGCTATTTTTAGCTACATCTGTTAACCTATATAAACTCTGTCTTAAAGCTGGAAGCTGCTGCCCCTCCTGATTTTCTATCAGTGGGGTAGCCGGCTGGCCAGTCTTAAATAAAGGACTCCTATTGAACTTTTCAATGTGTCTGGTGGTCTTACCTCGCATAACAATCTAAGCCTAAAAGGAAATGCCACCGGCCCCTCTACAGACCTTGTTGTAGTCCCCTGGTTGGGTCATTTCTTTGCTAATTTTTATGGCA